TGCCGGCCGCGCTCAAGCCATACCGCGACGACGAGCTCCGGAACTTGAGGGGCGACGACAAGCAGCAGGAGGGGCCCTACGAGGAACACGACCGCGTCTACCGCTACGACGTCTACAACGACCTCGGCGACGCCCGCGACGTCCTCGGTGGCTCCGAGGACCTCCCCTACCCGCGCCGCGGCCGAACCGGCCGGAAGCCCTCGCCCAACAGTGCGTCTCCCTTCCTTTCTTTCTCCCCGTAACTATATGGGTATTGACCGACGTGTACTTGATCTGACAACACGACAACCTGATGCCGTTCCTCATCAACATCAACAAGCTCGAGGGCAGCTTCGTGTACGCCACCAGGACCCTGCTCTTCCTGCGAGGGAACGGCACGCTCGCGCCGGTCGCCATCGAGCTCAGCTCGCCCCGGCTCCAGGGCGACCTGACCACCGCGGAGAGCACCGTGTACACGCCTGAGGACACCGGCGTCGAGGGCTGGATATGGCAGCTCGCCAAGGCCTACGTCGCCGTGAACGACTACGGCTGGCATCAGCTCATCAGCCACTGGCTCAACACGCACGCGGTGATGGAGCCCTTTGTCATCGCGACTAACAGGCAGCTCAGCGTGACCCACCCGGTGCACAAGCTCCTCCACCCGCACTACCGCGACACGATGAACATTAACGCCAAGGCCCGGGGCTTGCTCATCAACGCCAACGGCGTCATCGAGATGACCGTGTTCCCGGGCAAGCACGCGATGCCCATGTCTTCCATGGTCTACAAGAACTGGAACTTCACCGAACAAGCTCTGCCCGACGATCTAATCAAGAGGTTCGATTATTAATTTCCGATGACCGGTCGTCAATGTCGACTGATGTGGACCGTGGTAGTAGTAATGATCTTGTTAATGCAGGGGCATGGCAGTGGAGGACCCATCGAGCCCGCACAAGGTGCGGCTGCTGATCGAGGACTACCCGTACGCGGCGGACGGGCTCGCCGTCTGGCATGCGATCGAGCAGTGGGTAGCAGACTACCTGAGCATCTACTACCCCAACGATAGCGTGCTGCAGGGCGACGTGGAGCTACAAGCATGGTGGAAGGAGGTGCGGGAGGTCGGACACGGCGACCTCAAGGATGCGGCGTGGTGGCCCAAGATGCAGACAGTGGCGGAGCTGATCAAGGCCTGCGCCACCATCATCTGGATAGGGTCGGCGCTCCACGCGGCCGTCAATTTCGGGCAGTACGCGTACTCAGGCTACCACCCCAACAAGCCGTCGATGAGCCGCCGACCGATGCCGGCGCCGGGCAGCACGGAGTACGCGGAGCTGAGGGACAACCCGGAGCTGGCCTTCATCCACACCATCACCAGCCTGTTCCAGGCCCTGGTGGGCATCTCGCTGATGGAGATCCCCTCCAAGCACTCCTCCGACGAGGTGTACCTGGGTCAGCGTGACACGCCGGCGTGGACGTCAGACGCCAAGGCACTCGAGGCGTTCAAGCGGTTCGGGGCCAGACTGGTGGGCATTGAAAAGCAGGTGGACGACAGGAACAAAGATTCGCGGCTGAAGAACCGCATCGGGCCGGCCAAATTCCCATACATGCTGCTCTTCCCCAACACCTCCGACCACACGGGCGAGGCCGTGGGGCTCTCGGCCAAGGGCATCCCAAACAGCATCTCCATCTGATCGAGGAGGTCCATCTCTGCTTGCACCCGAACTAGCTAGTGTGGGAGTTCTGTCTGTGCATGCTTGCCATGACCTCAATAAGGCAATAATGCGTGCACGACGGATCCGATTTACACGCGGAAGCGCAGCTGGCTACTGCCTACTGGTTAATGCATCGTCGTTTAGAGAAAATTTCCCTTCTTTTTCCCAATAATAAGATCTATGTTGTGATGCTCTGTTTGTCAAAATATAGTCCAACCCTCCGGTATTGTTATAGTCTTCGGCTTGGGCGTTTTAAGCTCCTATATGTTACCTCTGTTTTTTTGGTCCAAGTTCAAGTTTCCCAAATTGTATCCGACCTTTTTTAATAAAAAAATGAGATACTTCTTTGATATCATTTGACTGAAACTCGACAGAAACTAATTTCTTGCTTACAGACAAGAAAACAAAGAAAAGAAAACATAAGCCGGTGATACTACATATGACATCAAACATTAAGTTCCATAAGTGAGCATGAAATCTGATAAATAAATACTCAGATGCTAATTTCCTTTGGAGTGATCCTCCTGGGGGTCAGAAAAATCATCTTGCTAACTGGCCATCTCTTGGTATGAAAAAAGAGTTTGGTGGTTCAGGGGGTGCCTAACCTTCAGGACTTAAAATGTTTGTCTGATGGGATCATTCATTAAGAGGTTTATTCAGGTTGAAGGTTCTCTTTGGGGCTAAATTTAGTACCAGAGATCCCAACATTCTGTGTTGTCATGATGCCCAACCTTCCAAATTTTGGAAAGGGATTATGCGGGCATCTAAGGCTGTTATTTTAGGTTATCAATGAAAAGCAGGTAACAGGAAGCAAGTGAGATTCTGGAAGATGTTCGGTTCGGTAACTCTCCCATGGCAACTCAGTTATGCGATTTATATTTCCTAGTTAAGGAACATGGAAAGGTTGTACCTAATGTCTGGGATGGTTGTCAAATCAAATGCAGTTTTTAGAAGAAACTATAATGTTGAACTGATGGAACAGTAGTATGAGCTGGAGGCTTTGGTCCAATCTGTTACTTTGGTAGATGAGGAGGACACCTTGTTATGGAAATATGAATCTAATGGTGCCCCTACTCATCTAAATCCTTGTAGGCTGTTATTAACTTTCGACGTGTTCAACCAATTTTTCCGCATGCGGTTTGGTCTTTGAAAGTTCCACCCAGGATACAATTCTTGTGTTTGTTGTCTCAGAATAAGATAATGACCAGGGATAATTTGAGAAAAAGGGATATCTAAACCTTAGGAATGTGAACATTGCAAAGAAATAGAATCGATGTTTCACTTATTTTGAATGGGGTGGGATAGAAGGCCTTCGTAAGAGGCTTGAATGATCAAGCATTTTAGAACATCGGCGACTAGGATATAATAAGGAGAGCGGGTCGCCCTGCCGCAAACCCCTGCGGCACTTGAACGAAGGCCCTGGTTTACCATTTAGGAGGATGGCAGAGTTGCTAGACCAGTTTAGATTGTCCACCCAGTTACGCCAGAGAGGAGGAAACGCTTTAGCGCGCATGATCGAAGACACGGCATCCCAAGACACCGAGTCGAACGCTTTGTGGAAGTCAAGTTTGAAAACAATGCCGGGTAATTTTCTTTTATAGCAAGTTTGGACAATGTTTGTGGCATGTATGAAGTTTTCCGCAATACCACGACCCTTAATAAACCCTGTTTGGTCGTGGCATTGCGGGGGTATATATAGGCTTCTCTTTAGTCCCGGTTTGTGGCTTAAACCGGGACTAAAGGACAACCTTTGGTCCCGGTTCCAGCCACAAACCGGGACTAAAGGTGCTGGGCCAGGAGCGAGGCCCATTGGTCTCGGTTCGTGTCTGGAACCGGGACCAAAGGGGTCAGACGAACCGGGACCAATGGCCCCGAGGCCCGGCCGGCGCCCTGGCTTCACGAACCGGGACTGATGCACCCTTTGGTCCCGGTTCGTGAGTGAACCGGGATTAATGCCCTTATCCTGGCCTCAACCAAAGCCATGTTTTCTACTAGTGGTAGGGAAAGACAAAGCATTATGGAAGAAATGTTCTGAAAAAGATTAGAGAGAAAAAAATAGATGAGTTTTTGTCCTAAGAAACCGATAGTTTTTATTTGCGGGAAAAAAATCAATGAGTTTGCTGTTAATTTTTCTTTGTGATTTCATCAGACTCTCTATTTTTCTTTGCGATTTCAATAATCAATAAAATAAAAGGAGATCCATTGATCATATGTTGTCGACATCAATTCAGCCAGAAATTGCAAGTAAGGCTATCACATTGAAATTGCATGTAAAAATAGGCACTATGATGAACTTGCCGGTCAAGTGAAATAACGCCAAGCAAAGCGAGTGGTGGTTATATTATTTTTCCAAATTAGGCAAAATGAGCACGAAATAGACCTACTACTTGCTTAGTATATGTGTCCCTGTAGAATGGCGCACGGCAATTTTCAAGCGTAGGCGACATCAGTTGTATCCAAAAAAAATCAGTGCCTTCAACCGGCAAATTCAACCAGGTTGTGATTTTTTTTTCAAGAATACGTCATGGAACAGCGTATTAATTTCATAGAAGAAGTGGCAAAGAAGCCAATTACACCATAAGGCATAGACAACACCAAATAGGCTCTAGTAGACCATCTATCAAAGAGCTATTCCTCGCTAGCTAGCTAGTGCATAACCCAATAGCTAGCTAGTTAGACGACGACGACGACGACGACTACAACCCTGTTTTGTTTACTGTTTGGTGGAAGAGTTGCAGTATACTTTCTCAGTGTGCTTGCTTGACCAAGTAAACAAAAAGAAGCATATGCAACAGTAAACAAAACAAGCTATTGCCTATGTAATGATCAAATGGCTTTAGTCTGATTCTAATCTAGTTTCATAGATTCAATAAAATTTATTGCCTGGCGGCATGCTCATGAAACAGTTTTAATTTACCAGACAGACAAAGACCAACTGAATAAGCATGGATGCACAAACATGCGTCAGAACTGGTCCAAGTTGTATAATTTTAGGCTTGGGTGGCACGTGTTGCTTTTGAAGCCAGCTGGACTCAATAGTTGGAGCTTTCAAGCACTTTTTGATTTTGTGGTTACTCAAGACAGAGTAACTTCGGAATACTCTAAACTGAGTAAAACTGGATTAAGCAGAGTATGTAAGAAGCAGAACAATGCCGAAGCCACAATCTGAAATCAGGAACAAAAAACCAAAGTACACCTACAGATTTGCGTACCTCTATGGTAGTAACATGCCAGCTTGGCCATGCTCTGCCTTGAGTTATTGCAGCACCATGAATCTGTCAAACAGTAAATATAACTAAGCATTAAAGGATGGTTTTAATATTACTACAGGAACATGAATTTGCATTCATAATCTTGGTAACAAGTGCCAGTAACAATTTACAACAGGAAAAAAAAATGACAACTAGAAACAACCGCAAAAGTACTGCAGTAATATTATTTTGCTCAAAAAGTACGAATTCGCTGCAGTAACAACACCTGACATGTAGTCTAGTTTGGTTTTAATTAAGCATAATCAAGCCATGCACAAGACATCATCATCTCTTGAGCAGCAGAAAATTCTAGCTCAGGACAAGCCCTCATATCTCAGCTGGTCATCCGAACCTCCTTTGGGAGAGAATTTTAGAGATTGGACCAAAGCTAGGAGAGCAAAGTATACAGTTTTTAAAATGGCACTGTATGCAGATACATATACGATCACCCTTACGGACGCCACAAGAAAATTATCAATCTTGCAGAAGTCAAAATTCTCGACAGAAATCGTGCATATACATTTTATATAAATACAAATTAGCAAACTTTTATCACAAAAATTTCCACGTAAATGCTATACTACCCTATGTACATGAGTCATGAGTGATTCTTTTTAGAACATTTTGAAACTTGAAAAACTGTCCAAGCAAGCTTGGGTTCAGGCGTTCAGCAAATCCTTGTCGAGCACCCAGCCCTTCAGCATACTCAACCATTGTCGATGTGCGTGATATAGAACTTGAAGAAAAAAAAATGCATTAGCAGCCCTATGCCATAATGGATATGATATCTCACTGAAGCCTCATATATACCCAGTATAGCAATTATGTAGCAATGCGCGCTAAGTAGACCCGAATATGAGGGACATGTGTATGCAGAAAAACAGCCAACTTAAAAGAGAATCCGTTTTTCCCATGAAGGATGTACAAGATTAACTAGCTATGAGACATTTGGAATAGAACCATACTTCTTTCATGTATTTAGGTACAGAAAAACATAGAGAAATGTGTGTTCATGATTTTTAGTAAAAGATCTTATCTAAGAAGGAAAATCTGTGAAATCAAACTGGAAATTATAATGCATCAAAAACAACTGCAATGATCATTGTAGCATTGCAGTCTGACCAAGCATATGAACATCTTCATCTCACTACATGGACATTGCAGTTTACTAGTATGCGCACTGTAGGCCAAACATGTGCAACAAATAATGAACTACTACTCAAGATCTTCCCTGCAGTTTTCTGGAGCTACTGAAGCAGAATAAAACCTTACAAGATCTTCAGGCAGCAATAAATCCCCATATCTGTAGTTCCCCGAACATATAGCTCAAGATTCAATTTACATCTTATAACCGTCACTCAGTCAGTAACTTTGCTTTGCTAAAAAGAGAACACTAACTAAATTCACAAAATTAATTAAGGCATATTAGTGAGCCAGCATGCAGAAACCGTCATCATCTCTACTTCTCTAGAGCGAGACAAACGACTAGCTATAGACATGCCATTATTATCAACTCATCGAAGTTCGAAGGTACTCCTTTTGAGAGATGAATTTAGAGAGTTGGGAAAGCAAACTGTCAAAATGGACTTAAAAGGCTACTGTCTGCAGATGCATTTTCAAGCAAATTAAACAACGGGGCATGTAGTTCCTACTGCAGCTGCAAGAATCGGAGGTTCATTACAAGATATATACTCCATTCACCAACTTACGCACTCCAACGACATGGGGAAACTATCAAACTTACTGACAAAAGCGAAAAAACAATGTGAGAAATCAAGCAAGCACCACTGAACCAAAAGGGCTACTGAATAGTGACATAATTCATCACAAGACCCTTGTCGCCTCCAAGCTGAACCAAAAGTGCTACTGAATAGACATAATTCATCACAAGACCCCTGTCGCCTCCAAGCTTGTCATCTTTTTTCTTGATGAGAGTGGCCTTCTAACCTTAGGCATATTCAACCATACCTTGTCAATGTGCCGCGTCACAGGGCATCACCCTTTCTGCAAACATAGATTTGTCGGTGTGATTCCAAAAAGGTGATGCCATGATACTATATAAATTGCCAATTAAGTAAGCACAATTTGTTGTATTAGCACCCAAAGTTTGGTCAGGAACATTTGAAATGTAACTTTATATCTGATTAGAGATTCATTGTTTTGTTTGTTCCACAAACTTATATGGAGTATTAATTAACATTTTGTTCCCTAAATCACAAAAAAAAAGATATATAGATACAGCTATAGTACGTTGTGGATTGTAGAAACTCATGTATGGAATCAAAGCACGAAATTCCTCGCTCTTCCATATCTCCTTCCATCGCTGTGACTTGACATTCATCTCGTAGATTCCCAGGTCTGTGGTCACGAAAACGGTATCACTGCCCTCAACGGATCCAATCAGTCTAAGTCTTTCCTCGGGATTTTGGATGGGGAGAAGATTCCTGAGATCGATAATTGTACGTTCACTCCATGACCCAGCTCTGTTGAAATCCATTTCTCTGGACCAGATGTAGAGGGTTAACCCATCCACATGTGCAAACCCCAAACTGCCATCCTGCATCGCCATGAGGATAGCGGCACCGTAAATGCCAGGCCCCACAAGCGGCACATCAACCAGTGATAAGCAACTACATCTCAAGTCGTACTTGAGAATTTCTACATGGCCATCACGAGCATACACAAGCATGAAGTGAACTGCTTCTTTGACGAGGACAGGGGGCATTCGGTCGACGAATGCGTCGGCTTCAAGATGAAGACCAGAGCACGGCTCGCCCCAGTGATGGTGATCAAATATAGGGCACGGCATGCTCCAGTCACCGGTGTCCGGCAACGACACGCACGCCTGCGCAACGCATCCAGCACCATCGTCTTCACGCATGCCCAGGCCAACAAAGACGACCTCGAAGGGGCCGGCGTGACACGCGCCGTGGTCGCAGCCAGGCACGGCGCAGAGCACCGCGGCCCCATAGCTGTCGTTCACCAGGTCGGGCTCCGGCAGGTCCTTCCGGCGGCCCGTCATGGGGTCCCAGACGACGACCGCGATGGGCAACATGTTCTCGTCCCCAAGGAGAACGCGGCCATGGCGGCAGTCCCACGCATCGTACTTGTGGTACCCGCAGTCGTCATCGTCGGGGACGCGCGCGCCGAATTTCGTGGTGAGTGTGAAGTCCGGGACGGGATCTTTTCCCTCCGGGCCGCAGCCCTCCAGCCAGGTATGAAGGAAGCCCAGCATGGGGGGAGGTCCATGGCGCTCACGGTAGCGGCCGCGGAAGCGAGGGCCGGTGAGGCGGCCGAGCCAGAGCTTGCTGGCGAGGGAGGCGCGCGCGAGGTGCTCTGGCTCGCCCGGCGGGAGGCGGAGGAAGATCTCCTCGAGGAGCTCGTCCAGCAGCGATGGTACCGGCGGCGGCGGCGGCATGGTCGGTGGGAGCGGCGAGGATTTCGGGAGGGGAATTTTTGAGCCGTGTTGTGAGGGGGAAGGCGGTTGCTCCCACGGTTCGGTTCAACCAGCTCGGCGTGGGGTTTCCGACAGGTGGGGCCAGGAGAGTGGCTGCCATAGCGTGCGTCGCCGGCGGCTAATTTGTGCTGCTTGGATGCTTGGGTTTCGTTAGAGCATCTCCAACCGTCCCTCAGAGCATCTCCAACAGCCACGTCAAAAAAACGCGCACGGGACGTTTTCGCACGCTCCAGCAGTGGCGGAAAGTTAGCGCGCGGGAAACGATTGCGCGCCTGGGGGAAAAGGCGGCAGCTCGCACACTAGATTTGGCGCACCGCTTCCGGCGCGCCTATAAATTGCAGCGCTCTCTGCCGCTCTCTCTCGCTCCCTCTAGCGCTTTCTCTCCTCGACGCTGACACGACACCATCGCGCCACCATGACGCCTCGCCGCCGGGGAGGTTCGAGCTACCGCGGCGTCCGCGTGCGTTCGTCCGGCACCTACTCCGCCTCGATCCGGTTGGGCGGCGACGTGCGCCTCGGCCTCAGAACCTTCGACACCGCCCAGGATGGCGCCCGCGCGTACGACGCTGCGGCGTGGCGCCTTCGGCGGTCCCATTGGGACATGAACTTCACCGACATGGCGACGCGGGAGCGGGCACAGGAGTTGGCGCCTTTCCCACGGCTTATCACCGACGAGGATCGGCGTAGAAACCGGAGGCAAGAGCGCCGTCTCAGCCTGGCCGAGATGGACGAGGAATCCATGGCGCTATGGAGGCAACGCTTCCCGCAAGATATTATCAACGAGGAACAGTTCTTCGCCGAGAGGAGGGCGGAGAGAGAGAGAGAGGAGAGGAGGAAGGAGCGAGCCGCCTATCGCGAGGACAAGCGAACGCGGAAGGCGGTCGCTAAATACAACATCGCGCTAGGAGATGCGTCGTCCTAGGACTCCCGCGACGAGCGGTTCCTTGACGCATACGCTCCGAAGTCGGAGGAGGACATCACCGAGGCAGAGTCCGAGTCGGAGAATGACGAGTAGTAGTAGTTTTTCATTTTTTTTGTATCGTAGAACTATATAAATTATCTATTGTAGGAGAAGACTATGAACTATCTACGCATTTTGTATCATAGAAGCAGGTTATGTCCCGAACTATCTCCATATTTGTAATATCGGAACCAAATATGTATCGAATCACTTCACAAAAAAAAAATTGAAATATAGCGCGCCTGCTGGAGCGGCTCAGGCGCGCTTTATTTTGCGGCGGCCGCTGGAGCCAGCGCACCGCCGCGCGCAAAACCTGGCTCACCCGGCGCTATATTCTGACTTTTAGCGCGCCTTGTGTTGCGTGGCTGTTGGAGATGCTCTCAGGACGCCTCAGGACACCTTTTTAGGCTCGGTTTTAAGCTCAGACGGCGCTTTTTGCCAAAAAACGGCCCAGTCACATCCCCAGCGCCCCCCAGGACGTCGAAATAGTGCCGGCAAAACCAGGCGAAACCCAACGCGTTGAGGGCCTCTTGGGGGCGCTGGCGGAAGTTTCGGCGAATCGTGTCGCCACACGTCTTCTTTTTCTTGGCCCACTTAATCATTCTCCTCACAAACTTTTGCTTCGGGTGGGGTGTGACTGGGAATATGCCCTCTACATGCCCCCATATTTCGACGGATAACCCCCAAGACACCAACTCTTTTGGTTCGGTGGTGTTCTTGGGGGCTCCTTAGAGCATCTCCAGCCGTTTGGCCCCCAGCTCACCTGGCGAAGCACTTTTGGCGTTAGCGCCAGCGGTTTTGCCAGCGCCTGGGGGCGATCAAGTTACCAGCCATGCCCCTAGGGTTCGGCCCCCAAATGCATATAAATTCAAAGTTCACTTTCCCGCTACCAAAAACGTTACAGTTCGGCGATCATCATGCCACAGGTCGGTGACTGAATATAACCAAAGTCCGGCAACAAAAGAGTAGGAATGGCAGACATGGGAACTCATCAGACGGGAGGCCCCTCTGCCGCAGGGTTGGCCGAGGTTGGCATGGGCGTGCGCGCAGGGTCAGAGCTCTGGCTCGGGGTCGGCGTGGGCATGGTTTCGGGGCTCGGGCTCGAAGTCGGCGCCGGCACATCTTTAGAGTTCGCGCTCAGCGTAGGCGTGGGCGTAGGAGCGGTGGTCGCCGCCGGTCCCGACATCTGATTTAAGATGAGGCCACGCTCTGCCAGGTACCACGCCTTCACCTGCTCATCCATCGTCGACAAGTCTGCCCCCATAAAGAATGCCAGGCCGGTGTTCCTCTTCTTCGCGGCGACGTTGGTCCTGAGAAGGTCGAGCTTGACGACGTTCTGCTTCGTCATCAACACCGACCACCTCGCATCGGATTTATCCTTCCTCTTGGCGGCGTTGCTCTTGGTGTCGGTGATGCACTGCTCGATCGACGATTGCAACCGCTCGGCAACCCGCGTCCCTCACCGCCTTGGCTTGCTTGTTGCCATCAGGGCGCCCTTCTGCCGCCACCAGGGCAGGCGCGTCTGGGTTGTAGGCGTCCTTCGCCTTGGCGAGAGCGAGCCAGACCTCCGTCCATTTCTTGCACGACTCAATCCTGCTGAACACGTGAAGGAACTTGAACTCTTGGTCAGCCGTTGTCTTGGCGAAACATGTTGAACATCCGGACCATCTGCACAACCAAGGCAAAGGTGTCGGTGAAGGACACGGCGAGTAACTAGGCCGGCGACCTGTCCCTCAACGTTGGCGCCGCTTTCTAGGTGAGCCGCGACCTCCTCTTGAATCCCATGCCACTTGCTGCAGGCCGTTTGGATGGTCGCCCAGTGGTTGGCCATGGCCTTCTCGCCACGGTCCATGTGGATGCCGGCGAAATCGGGGTCGACCAACTTGCGCTCGTTGAACGCTGTCTTGGTCCTTTTCCAGTACGTGTCGGCGTTCTGGTTCGAGCCGGTGATCGGGTCGATGCTGATGGTCTTCCATGTTTCGGCGAGGCACTCGCCTATTGGGGAACGTAGTAATAATTCAAAAAAATTCTACGTGTCACCAAGATCAATCTAGGAGATGCTAGCAACGAGAGAGAGGGAGTGCATCTTCATACCCTTGAAGATCGCTAAGCAGAAGCGTTACAAGAACGTGGTTGATGGAGTCGTACTCGCGGCGATTCAAATCACGGAAGATCCGATCCAAGCGCCGAACGGACGGCGCCTCCACCTTCAACACACATACAGCCCGGGGATGTCTCCTCCTTCTTGATCCAGCAAGGGGAGAGGAGAAGTTGAGGGAGCGCTCCAGCAGCACGACGGCGTGGTGGCGGTGGAGCTCGTGGTTCTCCAGCAGAGCTTCGCTAAGCACTACGGAGGAGGAGGTGTTGGAGGAGGGAGGGGCTGCGCCAGGGGAAGGGGTGCGGCTGCCCTCTCTCTCCCTCACTATATATAGGAGGAAGGGGAGAGGAGGAGGCGCCCTAGGGTTTCCCTAGGGGAGGGGCGGCGGCCATCACTACAAAAAAATACACTTCCGTGATGATACGTGTTTGTCACAGTAGGTCACGTTTTCTGTCATGCATGTACATCCATGAAAAATTTATGACAGAATCAAGATAGTCATACCTGTGATATCGTAGAAGTGTTCCATGACATTACCGAAATTATCATAACGGAAGTGTCCACTTCCATGACGATAAATTGCGCGTCACAGAAGTGCTTTCGTCAAGGGTGACCGACACGTGGCATCCACCGTAACGAAACACCGTTAAGCTATCGGGTCCGGTTTTGGATCCGATAACCCGTTAACAGCCCCAACCAATGGGGATTTTCCACGTGTAAAATCATCATTGGCTGGAGAAAACACGTGTCGGCTCACCGTTGGGACAGATGTCATCCACTCATTGAACCCAAAGCGCCTATGATACGTCGACGCGTGGCACGACCCAACAGAGGCCCATTCGCGTGAAAAGGTCGGCCCGTTTGACTTGGTCAAAAGGTGGCGGGCCGGCCCACGGCAAGCTTGTTAACGGCCTGTTCGCATATAGCCCATTTACAGCCCGCTATCCCAGGGCCCGTTTACGGCCTATCCGAATTAGGCCCAGTAACGTCATCTAGGCCATCCAATATAATTCCAGCCTGTTTTAACTTCCGGCCCATGTATGGCCCATGACGTCTTTCGGCCCATATGAGGCCCTTAGTAATCCTCGGCCCCTTAACGTCACGTGGTAAAACTGGCCCGTAATGAACAGTGTATCACTTTATACCCATTAACGGCTCATTATTCCGTTGGGCCGTTTCCAGCCCATGATATCTTTCAGCCTTCTCAGGGCCCATTTATTCTCGGGCTCATTTCCAGCATTCGGTTACTTACGGCCCGTTACTGTCATTTTCTGCTTGTGGGCCAAATTCAGCCCGTGGTTACAGTCGGCCCGTTTGTGGCCCGTTAATACGTTGGGCCATTTTCATGTTGAAAAAAAACCCGTTGTGCTGTTTTCATAGAGTTATCAAATACGGCCAATAAACGGCCCGTTATTGTCCACAAATAGTACGACCCATGATTGGCGAAATGATGATACGCCAGTAGAAGGCCCATGGATCCTACAGCCCGTAAAAGGCCCATGGATCGTACGGCCCGTAGAAGGCCCATGGACCCTACGACCCGTATAGAAGGTCAATGGATCCTATGGCCCGTAGAAGGCCCATGGATCATACGGCCCGCAGGAGGCCCATGGTTACAACAGTCCGTGTGTTGCCATGATTATTTTGGCCTAGTTTCCAAAGATAGGTTATTGTGGCCACTAGAAAAACACAAAAAAAAAGAACTGCAGTGACTACAAGCAAACAACTAAACAAGACAATAAGGAAATAAATAAGCAAGCAATTAACGCTAGCCTATTACCGCTATTACACATATTACATCCACTGGGCATCAAAGTTCGCAACCAGTGCAAATATAGAGAACAAAGTAGCATATTACATACATTGGTCGTCAAAATTGGCCACCAGTGCAAATAAACGCAA